GGCTTAGTTATCTATGATCTTAATAAATTGTCGCTATATACATATATTCATAATATGTAAACCTCAAATGGATTTCGATAAAATTTCGTTCAATAAATACATTACCACATACCTACCTAAGTGATTTATTCACTCGTTTTATGTAAACCAATTCGGTCCATTAGATTTGCATATCTGAATATTTAGCACATACAAGATTCGAGTCGTGATTTGAAAATAGATGAAATGTGTACCTACAATTTAACACTGTTAAAAAACAAAAAGAGGCTTGGTCAGCTACGTAAAATGTCTTACCTTAAATACGATTTTATCCTTCTCCATTGTATCTGAACTGAAACAAAAACATATATATTGTTTAAGAAACTTAAAAAAAACAGCCGTCGACAAAAGTCATGGCCTAAAGCAGCCTTTCCCAAAGTGGGCGATAACGCTCCCTTGTGGGCGCTGTAGGCTTAAAGGGGGGCGGTAAGAGACCCAGAAAAAAAAGGGTGCGTTGTGTAGAGGCGTTTGTAATTTAATTTAGGAAGACTCATAGACACCGACTGAGCTCTCGCTAAAGTGGTCTTAAGTAGGTGAAAAAATCAGGGGCGCTAAATAATAATTTATTCTCAAAGTGGGCAATAGACAAAATAAGTTTGGGAACTGCTGGCCTAAAGGATAGCGCCGTCATGTACCTACCTAGAATGTAGTTCAACTATATACACGATGAATGAGTATCATCGTGCAGCTGAAATCAATTACGCAAAGCCTTTAAAGCATAATTAGTGGTGATAGGGTAACAACTCATAATTTGGTTCCGTTATCTGTCTATATCTGCCGCGAAGAAGATTAAGTAACTTTCAGTTTAAATTCTGAGACAGTCCTTATGCATTACGATTCAAACTTTGACCTCGTGTCTCAAGGCGGGTAGCATTAGCATTGTAATGTCCCAGTAACCACATAACATTAGTTGGACCGTGAGATTATCCACTAATCTTGTTTTATAGCATAGATAGGTGGACAACCTCAAAGTGGTTAACGAAAACCAAGGACCAGTTACGCAGACTCCATTCCGTACTACGGATTTAAGACCGTTTTATCTAACATTTCCTGCCCTTCACTTGTTATATATCAGCGAAGATCGCAAAAGTGAATCTCGAGAGGCGGGTAATAAGATTTTGATTGGTTTCAATAAAACTACTCAACTACCTATACATATTCCAAATTATGTGTGCTCATTCCTATATTACAATTCAACACAAAAAGATAAGTTCTACTACTAATATTTATTTTTAACTATGAAACTAACCTTACCTAATTGTTACTGAATATTAGTTTATAATTTTAATCATAAACATCTCTTTCGTTAACGTCAACTCTTAATAAGTTCCGTAGCGTTACCGTTTTTTTCTTTTATAACTTTGATGGATTTTTGTTAGTTGCTTTTATTTGCTTCATTCTTAATACTTTCAAATTTTTTTGTTTCCTTTCTTGCGCACAATATTATGCAGTACAATATTTATTAATTTACGATATCCTAATTGTGGCTTTGTTATTCTTTCAAATGAAGGGTGTCTACTATTTGTTTTTGTCACACAAATATTCTCACCGGCTTCACGAACGTTCCTCGTAACAAACCAAACGACTGTACACTGTATGAAAATATATTAACCCAAAACATTTATTACATTGAAATCTAAAATAATAAAAAAATAAAAATTCCAAACTGTTTCTATTTTTTTCTAGACTTACCTAGCAATACCTTCGTAAAAAAAGATCTCAAATCACAATTTCCTCTCAACATCAACCAGTTTTATCGTGTCCACTTTATACCTATCTAAGTGCCTCCTGCTCAGCACGGAACATCTTGCGTGTCCAGCGTTACGTAATGCAAAATGATGTTACTCGGAGTAATTGTGTAACGTTCCGAGTGCATTCTAACGTGATACAAGTTATTGACGGCCCCGTTATTTAAGTACCAGGTAATAATATTGAGATTTGAATAATTAAATGTGCAGTCGGAAATAGAACGATGAAGGTTTGAATTCAGTTTGTGTTCTCCGTCGTTTAATGATTGCACTACGAATATATCGAAGATTTTACATACCAAAAAAAAAAAAAAAAAAATTATATTGACATTAACATTTTGTACAGGTTTAAATTATGTGAAACTTCAATTCAACTTCAATGCCGTAAAGCAGTAATGCGTTTCGGTTTGAAGGGTGAGGCAGCCATTGTAACTATATTATACTGACACCTTAGAACTTGTATCTCAAACTGGGTGGCGCATTTACGTTTTAGATGTCTATGGACTCCAGTACTTAATACCAGGTGGGCTGTGAGATCGTCCACCCACCAAAACAATAAAAAAAATCACTCACACTTTTTTTTAAATATTATGTAAACAACCCTATATATTTTGGTTTCAATTAAGTCTATGATTTCTGAAGACAATCGAATTTTAAGATTTTTTATTTAGAAAATTTATATATTTTAACATCACACGCAATTGTGGTAACTATTTTGCAATCCAGAGTAGATTTCATACGTGATGCGAATGTACCCGAGTCGAACGGATGTAAGCTGATTTCTAAACGGAAGGAACCGTCCGTCTTATGTGCATTACCTAACAGTAATACTTGAATCATTTTTTAACAAGTTAAAATGATTCTAATAACGAAACTCCAAATGTATGAAAAAAGTTCATACAGCATTTTATTAAATATTTATAATCTCCCGAGGTATATACGTCTTAATATTGATGTTTTTTGTGAAAATGCTCCCACTGTTAGAGATATTAGCATACTGTTAAGAGCAGTTCGGAAGTTGCTTGGGTTTTTTTAGGCTGGACGAACTCACGGCCCACTTGGTGTAAAGTGGTAACCGGAGCCCATAGACATCTACAACGTAAATGCTGCCACCCACCTCGAGACATGAGTTGTAAGGTCTCCGTTTTAACGGTACAATGACTGCCCCACCATTCAAACCGAAACGCATTACTGCTTCACGGCAGAAATAGGCGGTTCTACCAACGTTACGGTATAGGTTCTTTTGTCTACTAAATTTTACGTACATATGAACATTTTACATTGATCTTAGTTCAGAGAAGCATTTATCAATGAATTGCCAATTGCAAGAACTCGATTACTTAATTTTCGTTCTTTGTGATAATCTACATTAATAATGTATAATTTCCCTACGAAATTAAAGTTGTAGAGGACGATATATTTTTAGGAAAATTGTCACTCTAAATGTTGAATTTATCAATAAAATATTAGCCATTAGGATTGTATTTTAAATCAATTGACATTCAATTTATTATAAGTAGCTACGAATTTTATATTATAATAAATATATAATATACACAATTTCATACAGTTTTAAGAAAAAAAAAGACTACCTACTGCTTCTAATCAATTGAATTTCATCTGAAGACAATAATTTCTTCTTCATTCATTTCAAAAATAACGTTCTGTCGATGAATATATAATTATATCTGTAGCAATGTAATTTTTTCGTTTTTCTGTTTTGCTGCTTTGAGTTTAAATAAATTTTGGTTTAAATAAAATAAAGCCCAAAAAAAAGACTTTATGATTTCTATTTCTATTCATCATATATTTATCCGACAAAACTATTATCGTTACATAGTAAACTTATATTTTTTTAGGATAGTACATATTTAAAGAAACCATGTCGTATTCTAATTTGATTATTTTGCACGCGGTTATTACCTACTTTTTATGCCTAGTTTTTTCTTAGGTTTCAGATTGATTTGTACTACGGTTAATAGTTAGTACGTCTACATCTTGACGTACCTGTATATAAGGATTTATTATATTTATTAATATATTTCTTAGCATTGCTAACGCCCATGAGTGACGGCGATCACTCACCATTAGGTGGGCCGTAAGCTCGTCTAAGCAAAGGAAATAAATAAAAATCAAAACGGTCAAAATTCCGTTTACAATTTTTATTTTTATTTTACTTTTCTCTTTTGTTTTATATCAAATTAACTTTATTGTGTATCCTAAGTATGAAAATCGGTACTTAGTGCATTAATAAAAAAAATAAAAATATACTTACTGCAAAATGTAATACGATATTAAAGATTAAATTAAACAAACAAGAAAGAAGTCACACACACTTATTTTATTTATTGAAATTTATATATATTTTTTGCGATGTATTGTATCTTGTTTACGCGGTTGTCATGACAACGCACGAGTTTCAATATGGCGGCCGATACGGCCTCAGCGCGAGCGCAGACTGGCGGCAAACGACTAACGACGTGTTTCTTCAGAAAGCGAGAGGAAGAGCCCAGCCTCCAATCCTGTTTTCATTGTACGAGGACAAGAACGCACGTTTCCAATAAAAGATGCTAATTTTTATACGTGCTGGGTGCACGTATTGCTTGTGCATCATTTGTAAATTTATAACTTTTATCTGACTTGTTGTTCAAACACTAGCGAAGTGTTTTTTCAGTAAAATTGCATTTATTTTAATTGTCACTCTTAATTTCAATTAAAATCGCTATTAATATTCACTATTGTAGCTATGCATTATCTCCTTATTGCCTTTTGACTATAATGTAAATTATATACCTATTATATAGCATGGCTCAGTGTTATTATCTTGACATTGTTTGTTATACTCAATACGCTCAAGCAATGTTAAAAATACATGAAATAAAATACTTTATTTTTATTAAAGCTTTATTAATGTTTCCATCTCATGAGTCTAAACATAATTTACTCTACTAATAAACGATGCACAACAATATCTTAAGATACTTTTTTTTTTACTACATATTATTTTAAAACTTAAATTAATATCCATTTCATACAAAAAAGTCCCCGCTTTGGACTGGTATTGCCAAGAAATAAAAATGAGAAGTATTATGAAATGGTCTCAGGTTATTTAAGGTCTACTTAAAACGATAGTGTTACACTGTAAAAATATAATAATATTAACATCATATATGTACTTATTACAAAACATGAAATGTTTGATAAGTNATATTATTTTAAAACTTAAATTAATATCCATTTCATACAAAAAAGTCCCCGCTTTGGACTGGTATTGCCAAGAAATAAAAATGAGAAGTATTATGAAATGGTCTCAGGTTATTTAAGGTCTACTTAAAACGATAGTGTTACACTGTAAAAATATAATAATATTAACATCATATATGTACTTATTACAAAACATGAAATGTTTGATAAGTAAAGTTAAAAGGATTAACTATTATAAGAACAAAATTAAAAACAAATGATATGATGCATTCTTGTTGCGCTCGGCACACGGGTGCGACTCGCAGTTAAACAACTTCCGATTGAAATCGTAATAAAAATAATGACAAGACAAAATGCAATGCTGGCAACTAAAAGTAATATTTTCGTGTTGTTGGCGGTGTTAAGTGGGTTAGACTACCTTCGCGTGCCTATACTTGCTGCATTGGCAAAAATAATACAACACTACTCAGGTTTTATTACACATCAAAGGATTCAACTTGCTTGCTATAGCATTAAAAGATTAAGTATTACATGATTAACAATGAAACGGAACATTGACAGTGGCTATGGGAATAATTAGTGGATCGATTCGTTTACATGTCAAATTTAATTCACAATTATAGCGGGTTTTGTATATATTTACAGTGTGTTGTATTTAGAAACCGTCACGCCTGTCGGTTAAATTAAGGCACTAGGCTTCGAAAGCTAGCCGTCCACTTATGAATCTTTACGAACCAAGAAAATGGTTCATTTGAATTACCTAAGACGTGTCTGTAACGTGTAAACTCAAATCTTTATTTGGCCAAGTACAAAAATATCATTACGCAGCCAACGCCAACTAAAATACCGACGGCACTTTAAATATCAATCAACAATATTGAAAAATCCATATTATTTTTGTCATTATTCAAATTACGCTCACATCAAAATAAAAATAACACTAAACTAAAAACACATAAGTAAGAAGCAGACTGAAATTTAACAATAAGATATACCCCAAGAAACCATTTAGAAATGTTAATTAATAGAAAAAGCAAGCAGTGTTATTTCCTAATAATTGCGAACTATATTTACAGGAGCAAATCTAAGTTTACAAATCTGATTTTGTATTTACTATCACAGGTTTCTATGTACAAATATCGTGTATTTTTTGTTATATTTAATGTAATCCTTACTAAAAATAAACAAATATTCAGACTTACATAGTATTGACTACTTGATCGAAACACTTAGCGACAAATTGTTCTTTATCGTCCAATTCCTTGACGTCACTTACGTGATGGCGTGTCAACATTGCATCTTGGAGAGCATTTAGAGCTTCCGAAGTGAACCTCTTCCCTTTAAGATGAGTTATAACTGAAGCTTCGCCGTGAAAACCGGATTCGATAAGCCCTGGAGGAATGCTGAGGGTCACGTCATTGATGAGACCTTTTTCTACCGTCATATTAATAACCAATTCCTGGGTAGCGGAGTAGACTTTGGACGGAGCAAGAAGTCCTATGGGCACCGGGAAGGAACGGCTGACAGTGAACATCGGAGTTCTTCCAAAGCACCAATCCCAGCTAACCAAATCATTCTTCAATTCAGCCAGGCCTGTTCGTAAATATATTCTAGTATTATAAAACATACCGTTACTGATTTATAGAAATATATGTTTGCATTTTTGTATTTTTAGCATCGATTGACACAAACTTTATAAGAGAACAGTATACGTACCCGGGAACCAGTCGTCTGTGGGGTTGACGAACTGAAAACCGCGTTGTTTTGCGATCAGGCTCTGGCCGCCGTCGTCCAGGTGCAGAGCTGGAGTACGAAGGTATTCGTAGCCGAGCGCTGTTTGCAGATTCTCGACCGTAATTCTGTTGTCCAGGTCCTTCAGGTTGGCCACTTCGGATCGCGTTGAGGCCGTCGCTTTTGTCTGTATGCCATGCTAAATAGAATTACAAACGTCCCTTAACTAATAACAAGGTGGGAGGGCATAGTTACCGAGTTACTNGTCGTCCAGGTGCAGAGCTGGAGTACGAAGGTATTCGTAGCCGAGCGCTGTTTGCAGATTCTCGACCGTAATTCTGTTGTCCAGGTCCTTCAGGTTGGCCACTTCGGATCGCGTTGAGGCCGTCGCTTTTGTCTGTATGCCATGCTAAATAGAATTACAAACGTCCCTTAACTAATAACAAGGTGGGAGGGCATAGTTACCGAGTTACTGTTTAGTGACAACAACACGAAAAAAAGGACAGAGTCAAGAAAAGAAAAGAAAACCAAAAAAGAGATGTTGCATGCAGAGGAAAAAAGAGATTCAGAACACTTTAATACATTTCGGCAATTAATAGATTTCGTAAGAAACTCATACATTTAATTAGTTTATGATTCAACTTGTATTGTTAAATAGAAACAATGAGTCATATAAGAACAATGGAATTGTACAACAGCTCTTGCCCTATGACATTCAGGAGTCGGTGAACCAGTTGTAACACTCAAGCAAAGGGACAAAATTCAGTAAATTAATTTAAGCAATGCATATAAATAAGCATAATGATTTTACTTGATTACTCTGATAGTAAATTATTAATCAATCACACCATCCAGAAGTGCAATATTTAATAACATCATAACAATGTTTTTGAGTTTTCCCATCACCTTCAGCTGAGTTCTTTTCAGATCAATACTTAAAAGTTACTATAGTTGTACTGAATTAAATAGAAAACACACATATATGCGATTGTTATTAATATTAGAGAGATTACTCACCTCACGTTTAGCAAGAGCTTTGCTGAGATCTGCCTTGTTGGCATTGACTAGAAGGGTGCAGTGATGATATCCTGTCAGGCGACCAAGCTTTGCAGCTGTTCCAGATACCTGCCATGAAAAAGATTGAATATCAATTACAGCTGGTAACTAAGTTTTAAAAAGATACTTTTTCAATACAGCATGCTGTCTGGGTTATGAACAGTTTTTGGCTGAGTACAAAATATTCTAGAAAGAGATAACAATGAACTAATGTAATAGTGATATTTACAAAGGACTAGACTATGTCTTTTTTTGGAAAGAACTATTCTGGGTGTCACTTGCTCCAAACAAAAGCAGTTAATACTGCTACCAATTGGTGACATGATAACAACCTAACAAGTGTCTGATCCAACGAGATTAAAGTTGACGGTTAAAAAAAAAAGATATTAAGTTTTTTTTAATAACATTCCAGCATCAAGAACAGTTAAGTCCCATAATTTACTATCACCTTAATATTTATCTACACCAATTTAATGTTGATATACATATGTATGTGACCCATTTCTTTAACAAAATAAGGTTCTACAGAACCAAATAACAATATATTTTAAATTAAAATATGGTCCAAGACCTTGATTATGTTTCATTTAAGACTAATTTTTACCTCAGGTAATTAACATTTTTTATCTTAATTTCCTGTGTGCTTTTATATCTTTATAAATAATTTCTTTTGGAGATTATAACAAATATTCTAGAAATATTATGTCTGCAGCATACCTTGTATTTGTCTCTGACGATAAGGTCCTGACGTTCATTAATAGTTGACTTAATGCCAAAACTTCTGAACAGAGCTCTCTTAATCAACTTCAAATTGTAATTTCTGTCATATCTCTCACGTGGGGTAAAGAATGTTATATTCAGATTTCCTCGGTCATGATAAACAGTACCACCACCACTGTTACGACGTGCCAAAGCTATTTCTTTTTCAGAAAGTAGTGGAACATTCGCCTCCAGCCAAGGATTTTGATGTCTTCCAATAACCACACATGGCTCATTCCTCCACACCATCATAACATGATGATTTGTGAAGTCCATGTTCTTATACAACCAATCCTCCAGAGCCAAGTTCGTATAAATATCAGTCGATTGAGACATGAACACTGACTTGGTGATCTCCCCCTCAGTTGGAAGCACTCTCTCCTTTTTTGATGCAGCCACTTTGCTGGATGCCGCCACATTTCTTATATATGTTTTCTGTGCAAGACCAGCAAATGTGCAAGCACTGCTGGATACTATTCTTTTCACCATAGCTTGAGCCATCTTTCACTTGTTTCGTTAATGTCTCTAAATAAATAAACGGGCACTTTTCTGTATGAATGTAGGATAAATGTTTTTAAGCGTAAATTACTAAATAATGTCTTATTATAAATAAACTAAACTAGAGTTAAGTCTAATTTGTGATGTCCTTGATGAACACACTAATGTTTTGCCCCACAGGCGTCGGTGTCAGCCGAAGAGAGGGAGATCAGGTATTCGTGAAGGGCAATGGTTTGATGCAACCACTTCCAGGTTTGGTGCAGGGTATTAATTCGATAACGAATTCCCAAACAATCACCGCAGTCACTTGGCATTCCTCTTCTTGGATGCAGGATCAACAATAAAATCACTCAACTAATGAACACTAGCAAAATCTGGTTCGGAATACTAATTTTATGATTAAGTTGATGAATTTGTAAAACAAAAGAAATAACTTATGAACGTCGCGAGTCGACCGTACGAGGGCAGGGTAAACGACGAATTAAACGAAATTATCCCCGTCGCCGCAATTTATTGGTGCTGATAATGATAAGAGACACGAGGAATCAGGAGGTCGTGTGAGGCCATTCGAAGTTCACTTTAACACAAGAATATAAACAACCTGATAAGAAGCACGAACGAGCGTGTGGCTCCGAGACCTTATCATAATTTGTAATTAACGGATATAGCCTATTTTCTAATCATGATACAATTTAAGTACCAACTGTGATAGTCTTGAACATTCTTGATAGCTGTTGATTCTTTATATTAGAGGTATTTAAAATCACAGCTAAGGAATATTTTACATCATACATTCAAATTGAAGTATAAAATTCTAATATGAGTACATACTTTTTAGATCGAGATTATCAGCACATTAGTAAAAAATAAGAGTTTTACAAAATAGTTATATAAAATAATATAAAACATATTTTCATGTGATCAACATTATTTTATTTTCCAAAGATTTTCGGCCTGGTAACGAGACCTTTAAGCCAAATCAATATTAAAAAGTAAAACCCCAAACATAGGCTATAGACCACTGAAGTATACTTAGACCTTCGTTAGAACTAATAGTGTTCTGTGACTTAGACCACTGAAGTATACTATATAGGTCTATGCTATAGACTAAATACCAATGGTACTACTGCTTAAGTTGTTGACGTTGTTGTTAATTTAAGAAGGAACTATTTCAATAAATATTGAGACTTTTTGGCGGGAACGCCAGGAGTGAAGTTGTGTGATTTGTTTTATTTTGTCTATTTAGTTTTTCTTCAGGTTTAAATGTGTAATAACGGTGGCTTATTAATTATTTAGTATCCATGAAAGTGCAAAAACGTGGGAAAATGAAACAACAGTCGCTGAACGTAACTTCTCGGGATCAAATCAAAATCAAAAGAATCTTCCAAAAAGTCCACTGAAAAAGTCTCACTAAATTACCACCATTTTACTGAGATTATATTTCATACCATATCATCTCATCTTATTTCATTTCATTTCAAATTATCATTTGTCATAAAATTATGAATTTATATTTTTAAAATAAGACTTGACATAAAGGTCTTAGTTACCAGGTCATAAAATCCCTAAAAAAAATTATTATTGATTGCAAATGTTTACTAAACCTAACGACCCATTCTTTGAGCGAAAAGACCTTTATTTGGTCCAAAAGCAATCCTTTTTAATAATAATTTCAATAATTTAAAATAAAAAATTCCAATCAGTGTATACCATAGATTCTTTTTTGTTTTGTGTTAATTAAAATCCTTTTTGGCACAGCTGCACAGGCAAAGGGAATGTAGTAAATATTTCTAGTTATTTTCTTTGCATTTTTTTTTCTCTGTTCAATCATTGGTAACGAAGGTGCTATTCCAACTACGCGCAGACTGGATAGATGAACTCATGGGGTTCAACATGCGATTTTGTTAACACTAATCCTGGCAAGAGAAGTGTTTCGCTGGATCTACCACTGGATTGAAATCACAATCTTGTGAGAAGATCCGGTGAGAAACTCAGTGAGTATGACTATGGGTTAGGTTGCACATCGAATCTTCGAAGAGTTCGACAAGATCGGTAGCCAGTGCTTGAAGAGTCTGCAAGCATCGAAAGTGGATCGAGAAGATCCAATAAGATGTGCTAAGGGTGACAGTAGCATATGTAATGACAGGGGGCCACGATAAGAGGATTTTTTCTGTAGTAAAACTGAAGAGTCCATTAGTTGCTGCAGATTCCCATCATTTTACTAAAAAGTTATTTTATTCACTAGGCTTTTAGGAAATACATCCTTGTTTCATTTTCCCATAATATATGTGTGCAGCTTAAGAGATGCTAAACGGTTAATAAGTAATAACTAAAAAAAACGCTTCTACCTTAAAAATACTATGTTTACAAAATCATCCAGTTTATATTTCCTTTGTTTTGCGCATCTGAAAAAATAAATTAAAAAGTAAATGATTGACATTTTCAAATGTGTCAATTCAGGGAAAAATCTCACTGACAGAACAAAACCCTATCTAATAGAAGTTGAAATTAAGTATTGGCTATTTCTGGTTGTTTGAGTAAGAATTACGTTAAAATCATAAATCTGTGAATCGATAAAATGGCTTTTAGAGCAACTGCCATGATGGCTTTCCGAGCCACGGCTATTAACCGAAGTGAGTATTAATTGTCAATTTGTAAGCAGTAGTTTTAAGTTATGTAATCTCATCCCATTATTTATAACCTGGTAAACTCGTTTTCAGGTGACAGCCTCAGCAAATGGGCCTACAATCTTTCGGGATTCAATAAATATGGTACTTGAAACACAAATGCTATTTTAACATAAGTCTGACATTGTAGAACATTAAGGCTTCAAAAAACAGTTTACTGTTAGATGAGCAAAAACCAAAAATGATTTCTTTATTTTAATTAACTTATAATAATTAGTAGTACATAATATCTTCCTATATTATATTCTAATTCAACTATCTAAATTAAACCAATGGACTGCTATAGCAGCTTATATCCATTCATTAAAATTTCCCACAGACCACAATAACATAACAATAGAGCCTATTATTTAAAAATTTTGAACATTAAATTATCGTGGTCCAAAGGATAAGAAGCCTGATGCATTCATATTGAGCAGTGAGACTGTCAGGAATTGAATGCTGTAGACAGATTAATTTTTTTTTAATATGTACCTAACATAAGTCCACAAATAACTTCCATGTTAAAGAAATAATACTGTGTAATAAACAAAACCCACAACAATTATAATTTCTATAGTTCTTGATGGTAGTGTCTTGTGCAGTGATGCATTCTTGTTTGAGAGATAGGGCAGCCACTATACTATAGAATGGGGATTTTGACATGTCTACTGGCATTTACTTTGTTAGTCTATGGGAAGCAGGTTGTATTTAATTAACATTGTTATTTTAGCCTTTTAACTTCTCAATATTTTAGCGGTGAATTTGTTGATTCATGTATAGTAAAAAAATCATAGTTCACGTTGGTGTAAGCTCACAAATTCTAGTATCATGTTAAAACCTGGCCCATAAAGTAGTTGAAATTGTAACCAAAATATTTACAGGTTTGTTACGGGATGATTGCTTGCATGAAACTCCTGATGTAACTGAAGCACTCCGCAGACTTCCATCCCATGTTGTAGACGAGAGAAACTTCCGTATTGTACGTGCCATACAGCTCTCCATGCAAAAAACAATCCTACCTAAAGAAGAGTGGACAAAATATGAAGAAGATTCCCTATACTTAACCCCAATTGTTGAGCAAGTTGAGAAAGAGAGGCTGGAGAGAGAGCAGTGGGAGAAGGAATATTAAATGAGACATGGCATAGTGGTATTATTTAATTAAAATAAATATAGCAGTTAATTGTTTGTATTATTTTACCTGTGTTGTGCATATTGATAAATGTTCAATATGTAATTTTCAAAGATTAACTCGTGCCAAATAGTTTGTCATCTCTATCCCTCTATACACATATCAGATTTTTGGTCTTGATCATAACAATTTGAAAGTGGCCATAAACCATAAAGGCCATCTTTAATAAAAATACTACTTCCTATTTCATTAAATAAGTAAAAAGTATTAAATTTAAATATGTGGCAATGGTCTCTTGGAAAGTAATTAAGAAATAAATTTATTTCATTTGTTTATGTACAAGAAATTATATACAATTAAGATCAGAAAAATTTGTAAAAATATTTAGTATGCATAATTTAAATATGGCCATTAAATAAAGCGTTAAAACTAAATATACGTTTTCATTTCAATGTTGAGTATCTACAAAATTTATATGTGGGAAAAACAATTTTCCATATTTAGACTGGATCCATATAGGTAATTTTGAAAATTAAAATAACTTGGTCCCTGTTAACAATAATACAATCATACTTAACGAAAATACTAATATGATTTTGTTTAAATATACAGTTTAATTCATTTGGACATTTTTTGAATGTAAAATTATTAAATGGTAGTTTTTTTTTTACTTTATATTAACTTAACCTAATATACTACTTTTATCGAATTTCTATACAAAATGATGTAAATAAAAGTCTATACATTAAGGGATACCATGTTATTAAATTATGATAGAAATATTTTAGATTCATATGATATACAAAACTTAATACTTAATTGAACAGACAACTTAATGGCTAATGCAGAATTCCATAAGAAAGTAGATTTTACAATACAAATAGTATTTTATATATTGCTAACATTGGCAGACATGGCTCACTCACAGGCGGTCATTTTTACCCATACGGTAATGTGAAGAATAATATCTGCCATCCCTAAATTTATACTACAAATATAGTAATATTTAAGAGATTATTACTTTGATATATTTTTAAGATAAAAATTATGAGATATGTTTTATATTTGTTTATAACTTTTTTTATATTTGTGCAACTTAACTACTTTTTTACTACGCTCATCTTTGTTCATGTTAATTTACTAATAAAAAAAATTCGAGTTTAAATTCGATATTCAATAATGCGAGGCGTGTTAGAACCGCTCCCAAAACCGGAATCGATTATTTTACCGTAAAAGAGTAACGATATAACGATAATACTAGTTTTTTTTTGTTTCAATAAATTGATATTTGGTAAATTCGCAATGTTATGAGAACACATCAGAACAAGGAAAAAAATTATTCTTCGCGATTTTTTAGAACTACTTTACTTTCTCTTCGTTTTCCGGAACGTTTCCAATACACCCGACTATAATACATATTTACAATTCCTCATCGCCGATAGCTTCGAATGCGTTATTTTCGACACAGTCCTTTCCAGTTTTGAAGGCGACAGTTGCGAATTTCTCGGTTAGTCTTTGAACTGAAAATATTTCCTTGGAACTAGTTGAGTTGTATGAAGAGTCGGCATTCTGAAAACGGAAAAATAGAATATTTAAATCAGCCTGTAATTCAGTATTTTGATTGGTCGACTGAGAAAGAATACAGTCTAACTTAAAAAAATAAAAACGAAACTGGTTTAATTAAATTTGAAATATGGAGGAAAAATACTTTAGGTATTTTAATGAACATGAGCTTTTTTTTATTATTACAAAAATAGAATACAAAGATTTCGTTTTCAATATATTACTTATTTATTCTTAATGGTGGTAGGACCTCTTGTGAGTCCGCGCGGGTAGGTACCACCACCCTGCCTATTTCTACCGTGAAGCGGTAATGCGTTTCGGTTTGAGGGGTGGGGCAGCCGTTGTAACTATACTTGAGACCTTAGAACTTATATCTCAAGGTGGGTGGCGCATTTACGTTGTAGATATCTATGGGCTCCAGTAACCACTTAACACCAGGTGGGCTGTGAGCTCGTCCAACAATCTAACCAATAAAAAAAAAAAACAACAGTTTTCAAATGTCGTCTGGTTTTTGTTTCATATCAAAATGAAGCTTAACGCAGGTCACCAATAAATAGCAACTACATTACCAACTCGCAAAATCGTCATTTCTGTGCGAAAACTCACGTTAGAACTGAGCGTATCGCTGGAGGAGGACGGCGAGATAAGCTGGCTGGAGCCGTCCCTCCTCAAATATGTGAGATGGGTGCGCTTCTCGCAGCGAGGGGACGTTGGTCCTGCGCCGCTTTTCTGCCGCATCAACTCGTCAACTATTGACTGAAAATCAAACACGTTTATTATTATTGTTGTAAATTGATTTCACAAGTTCTACATAACAAATAAACTAATGATACCTACACGTTTCTTGTTTTTTATTCTTTAAGAAACGTAAAATAAACATGAACGTATATATCACTAATTTGACTAGGACCTTGTCACAGAATTGTGCAATTATTGATATACAATACAATGGAGATTTCACATTCTCGTCTCAAGGTGAGTGGTTGCATTTTCGTTGTTATTTATACTTATGGGCTCCATTAGTCACTTAAAACTAGGATTGAAGTGGGTTTGGCAGCAAAAAACAAACCTGTAGTGCTGGCAATAACGGACCATTTACGCAAACGTTTTGATTAAGGTCTCAAGAGCCAAAGAGGCCAAAGACCTTCACCGATTTGTTAACCAGAAATATTTTTTATTTGGTTTCAAAAATAGACACTTTAAATACTTTGCCTGTCGAAATCGACGGCTATTTTTTTCTCTGTTTACCCTTTTACGAACGACACGAATTTTATTATATAAATGATAGTAAATAATATAAAGAATATGCCTAGGTATTTTACCCTCTTATTTCTTGACACCAATATCTGGTACCTACATCGTAGCCCTGAGGCTATACCAGCGTTAACTAACGAGTAGGGGAACTCTCGGGGCTCAATCGTGGGGGCGTCGCTAACACTAGCCCTAACAAGACCAGAGCTTCGCTGAGTCTATCACCAGATCGGAAACGCGACTCACTGAGAAGATCCAGCGAGAAACTCAGTGGGCTGTGTTTATGGGTTAATTTACTCGCCGAACCCTTCGTCGCAAGCTACGGTTTGAACATCGATATCTTAGCCTCTCAAAACATAGTATATCAAAAGATAGATACTTTAACAATAAACGCGATGGCGCAGTTGTGGCTACAGTAAACCTGTCATTAGCCAGTACTACCAGGCTTTGAAGTTTGAAAGTCGGTGTAAGCGAAGGTGTGCGAGAGAAAATAGAAAGGCCGAAACATGTACAGCAAAGGAAGACATGAACTCACAGCTGTGCGGGCAATATATCAAAAGTAAGAACAGTAGCGGTACGGACGATATTTTGTCGATAGTTTTTATTTGGTTTCCCCCTTTCATAAAATTACTATATTCGAGTTTTTTATGTGCAAAGTTTTTTAAAATTATACATATAATACAATCAATAGAAAATGTAAAGAATACATTACACATTGATTCGTAACAATTGTACTTTAAATACATAGATTACCATATGTCGGTTCTCTGTTCACAGTTTAGCAGATTACTGTAATAACCTTCGTTAAACTATTGAATTTGGCGAATTGTTTCCTTGTGACGAGAATTCTGACAATAATTCCAGGATGACGTAATATTGTTGCACCGCGAATTAAAAGGTCAACAATAGTCATTTCTAACAGTTTAGGTATTATCATTACCTGTAAACAGACGCTTATGAATGTGGCATGTTCCGTCCTCAAGGTTATCCACTGTAAATTATCCTTGCTAATTAGATATTCAAAGGATAATTCAAAGTTTTTATTTGGTTCTTCGTTTTCTGAAATATGTCCGTTAGTTTGTGGCCTTTCCATCTACAAAAAATATCGTCATATGAATCATGCCTTTGAGTCAGCCAAACAACACATATATTTTATCAATCATCTCCATTATTATATTACTTTATTCACATTAATATTAGAACTTGACACTTTTATTGTTGTTGTGTTGGAATTATATACTTTTTGTTCAAAACATTTCAGTACAATTTCGTCATGGCTTGACGTCAGAATATCTTTTGTTTTAGTGGCTATTAATGAATTTTAGTGTCTTCCATATACTGACTAAGGTTTTTTTTTTTTTAAATATGCCAAAATATGATTCTCAATCTTGAGGTGTCAGTGAGTATGGTAAAATTTAGATGATTGGATGAAAAACAATATTGTTATTTGTTCATTATTAAGCTTAATTATTTCATGAATGAAAATTATATTGTTTTGTTATCATTCTTTTGTTCTCCTCGGTTTGTATAAATTAAAATGACATCTGTCGTTAACCATTTCATTATCACTTTTGCATTATACTTATACCATTTAACAAATATCTTCTTTGTTAAATAGTTTAACCGAATTAATTTGTATCAGATCATTTCTATATTCGTTTTTATTTATTTATTTAAAAACGGTAGGCAGCGGCTTGGCTCTGCCCTTGATATTGCTGAAGTCCATAGGCGACGGTAACCACTAATCATCAGGCTGGCACTCTTGACAGAGTTTCCTGATTGTCTTGCTAGCACTGAAGGGGGCAGATTTGACACGCCTGACGTTGTTTAATTTAATTAGCCTCAATTAGTTAATAATATCGATATCTGTGGTTTATTTATAGATTCGCGTATTTTGATGCGCGCATTCCGTGACATTCACATTATGAATTTCTATTGTTATTAATGCATACTTACGCAGTGCAACGTCGTGATTCTCCAACATCTCATGCGTGTAACTTTAAACCGTTGTTCCCTTTGAGGCTGAGTGACCGTGGTCAGAGTCAGTTCCCTGGCAGCAAGAGAAACACGAACACGACACGTGCTGTCAGAATTATCTCCAGATACGTTTACTGAGTCTGTCACCGCTTCTCCAGCCGGAATACGGCCGTAATGTCTCAACGAGCGCGCTAATTCCATAAACTGAAATAATCATAATATAATTAGGTATTTTTCAGCTTTCCGAATCTAAATGGTAAAGAAATGATACCTTATTTAACTATACTGAGACCTTAGAACTTATATCTCAAGGTGGATGGCGCATTTACGTGGTAGATGTCTATGAGCTCCAGTAACCACTTAACACCAGCTCGTCCATCTAAGCAATAAAAAAAACTTATAATTTTTATTTTTTTGGTGGTTGTGGTGTTAAGTGGTTATGGAGCCCATAGACATCTACAACGTAAATGCGCCACCCACCTCCAGATATAAGTTTTAAGGTCTCAGTATGGTTACAACGGCTACCCCACCCTTCGAACCGAAACGCATTACTGCTTCACGGCGGAAATAGGCGGGGTGGTGGTACCTACCCGTGCGGACTACCAAGAGGTCCTACCTCCAGTGAAAATTTGTTCTGTGTTGAAGCTATTCGTTCACTCTTCACTATTTTATAACTTTGAGTATACCTGATCGCAAGAGTAGGTTAAATATGGTTACATAATGCTAGTCCCTATCTCCTGGATCGTTTGTGATTTCTGGATCTAAGGTCCTCTGTAATTTCGGATATCTATTTTTTTCTATATTTTGTAGATTATCTTACACGCCTAGAGCGCTGAGGGATTGTTTGAGATGTATTGTTTTGCTATCTGGAAGCATTGTGGTCATCTATTGCACGTTTTCAGAGATATTTTATACGTAAGAAGATTCTTACTTTCCTGAACGCTATGATATATTCTTCTAAAGACGACGTTAAACAGCTTGAATATGGTGACTTATCTGATATTCACAAGTGACAATGGTCACAACACCGTTTAATTCAAATTTAGCAGCTTCTACTATTAACGGCTACACAAATTATTTAAAATGTAAATTAATTGAAACAAAGCAGTTTAATGATACTCATTTTCGCAGATTCATTTAAAATAATAATAATTGATTTAACCTAAAGTAGTTATTTAACTACTTTAGGTTCTAGGTACTAAGGTATTTATTTAGATATTACTGATAAAAAAAAAGATTTAAAATAGCAAGTCCTGTAGTCTTCTGATCTTGGCTACTAGTCTCATGGTACTCTAGGACGAAATGAAACGACCAGTGTTCCTCTGAGTAGATATCAGAGTGACTGACGATGTAAGTTTTTATTTTTCAATACTTGGATGAACTAGCTCACCGCCTTGGATGAACGACCTTTAGTGCTTACCGGAGCCCATAGATACCGACAACGTAAATGCTGTCACTCACCTTGTAACTTGAGTTCTATATCTCCGTTTTATAGTTTAATGGATACCCTACCATTCAAACAAGAATGCATTGCTGCTTTGTGGCAAAAATAGGTAGAGTGGTGGGGCAGGTGACAAGCCACCTTACCACCAGTATAGTCATTTTCTGGAGTAATATTATTTGAACCCTATCTATGCATGAACAGTATAATTCACACTAAGCCATAAAACCACACACTCTAAGCAAAAATGGTCATGGTAAACATTTTTTTTTATGATAGTCTTCTTATTATTATCATTTTTTTGGTGATCTAATTAATAATGCTATTTATTCTTTACATCCTTGATGGAATTTACATAATATCAGTTATACGCCAATTTTAAATTCTACCATCTGCCAGATTGTTTCGTTTTCATGTGACGAATAAATGACATTTATCTATATTATTTAAGGGTTATCTATATTATTTAAGGGTTATTTATTTATAGTTTAGGGGCTTATTTACTTGAAGCTGTACCAGAATAATAGTACAAACATATTTTTTTCCATTATCTCAAAACAACAACAGCTGCACTTAATAATATGTTCATGATAAAAGGTTATCTGTGCCACTTTGTGCCGAGATGAACACTAAGCCTAATGAACTTTGGTCTGTTTCCATATTTATATTGATAATACTTGTTAAAACACATTTAATGTCTCTTATTTTAATGTTAAAATAATAACTTGATCAAAATGAGAACAGGAGTGTGCCATCATTTTGATGATTTAAAAAATAAATAAAAAAAAAACATATTCAATTGCAAAAAATAGTTTGCATCTTATTCAAATGCCACTTTTGAAATAATAAATACTATTTCAACATCATTTACAATCTTAATCTTATTTTGTAGATAGTAATCTTTTTAATTTCTAGTAATTAATTTAGTTTTCCCCATTTTGATAATTAATATAATTTCAATATTAATGTAAGGGGCATACCTCTCTTTTTTGTTTTTTAGCTTCATATTTTCTTAAAATGTCTCTTGTTTGAGCATCTGCAATTATCCAGCCAAGATCTAGCTCTTCATTTGTTTGTAGATATAACAAGTCTAAAGATACATTGTCAATCATAAGATCAACGTCATAATTAGGATCCCAGTAGCTGAAAAAAAAGATCATTTTATGGTGTTTGAAAAAAATGTATATATAATATTGCTATTAATATTACGAATATTGAAAACATAATATTGTATTTTTTCCATTATTTACCTTTTTCTTAAAACTATTTTATCTTCAGGTCTCACATATTTCTGTGATATGTAGGGAGATTCATATTCTTCTAATTTTTTCATAGAAGGTTGTCCATCTTTAGCACAACTCCAGTTAAATAAATATAATGAATAATATTTTATTAATTCACTTGATAAATTAATGTAATTACAAGCAATATCCAGTAAAGTACTTGATGAATCAGTGGAAGAAACAGACAATGGTATTCTATAGCCATTCATTAAGGATATTTCTATTTCAACTTCATGCATTTTAACAGAGTGAGTTTCTTGTTGAGCAGAAAACAGGAATGTTATAAGTAAATCTGAATTAGCCAGCACAGGAATTTGACCCACTGAAAAAAAAAACAGTATTTAATCCTCTTTCTTCTTTTTCCCTTTTATTATAAGACCAAATTTGTGGTAGCTTTTACCTTATAAAAATAAAAACTAAAATACAAACCCATTTGTATATATTTCTCTAACAGGATCCTCCTTTCTTCCAGCAGTGAACTGGTAAGGAACAACTTCTTCGGTGGAAATTGTGGAAGTCTAACATATGAGTGTTGTGCTTGCAGCTGCTCATGGAGACTGAGCAACTGTCTATAGCGGGCGGTGCAATGGAAAAATCCATCAATATATATATTGTATCCCTAAAAGTATACTTTTTCTAATTACTTACATAAATATTAACATATATGACATCTGGACTTTGAGAATGTGATGAAAACAGTGAATAACTTTATTAAGCAATTGTGAGTCAGAATAATATTTCGAAAGAATAAGCTGCGTGCTTTGATATCATTCAAAGTAATGAGAATTAGAATTTAATTAGGTATTTTTTCCATTAATGTTTGTAAATTCCAAGAGACATTATTAAGCAAACAAAGACAAAAACTATAAAAAATTTGAAGGATAAGTACCGTATATGAAGTACCATTGTCATCGTAAAATTGTTGTAAATCAGGTATTGAGAAATGCATGTTCAAAAATCAATGTAAAATTTCATTTCCTTTACACTTCGATGATTATTTGACTGTAAAGTTCGCTAAAGTTGATAGCTATGTCTAGAGATACACATTTTAAAATAAAAACACATGAAAGCACTGTAATCACTTTAGAACTAAAGGGAAAACATATGTAGGTATTCCAAAGGTAAATAACTCAGCAGACGCATAGACTAAACTAGAAACAACTGACAACTACCAACCTACCTATACCATAGAGATACCTAGGTAGTTTATATAATTTTTCTTCTTAAGTATGGCAATGGGCTTCTCACGATTCCATTACTGCCAGTGTCAAATTTATAAAAAAGTTCAATTATTAAATTGCATTCAAACAAATACAGGTATGTACTCTGTTATATATATGAATGAAATCCATCCATTGGACATTTTGGTGGGAATGCGAGGGGTGAAGTTGTGTGATTTGTTTTATTTGAGTCGTCTATTATCAAAGGCGGCAATCTGTACATTTGGACAAAAAATTTTTATTGATATGTCAATACAGTTTTATTTGAATATAATCGTCTCCTTCAAAGAATACGGTTCAAAACCTGCATTAAATAAAGGTTAATAGTTAACCTGTTATTTATCTAAGATGTCGTTCCGAAGAGTTTTGTGACTGCCAATGGAATGCAAAGTCAATAATTCGTTTTTCTGATTTACCAATCATTGTCCAAAAGTCAGATTGCCGCCTTTGATAATAGTCGACTCATTTTGTCTATTTATTGTTTCTTCAGCTTTAAATGTGTAATAACGGTAGTTTATTGTTAATTACCGTCCGATTAGTCTCCTCCCAGCGATAGGCAAAATTTACGAACGGCTCCTTCGGAAACGCCTCTGGGACTTCGTTACCGCGAGTAAAATTCTAATAGACGAGCAGTTTGGATTCTGCGCCAAACACTCGTGCGTACAACAAGTGCACCGCCTCACGGAGCACATCATAGTAGGGCTAAATAGGCGTAAACAAATCCCGACCAGCGCCCCCTTCTTCGATGTAGCGAAGGCGTTCGACAAAGTCTGGCACAACGGTTTGATCTACAAACTGTACAACATGGGAGTGCCAGACAGACTCGTGCTCATCATACGAGACTTCTTGTCGAACCGTTCGTTTCGATATCGAGTAGAGGGAACTCGTTCTCGTCCCCGTCATCTGACTGCCGGAGTCCCGCAAGGCTCCGCACTCTCCCCGTTACTATTTAGTTTGTATATTAACGATATACCCCGGTCTCCGGAGACCCATCTAGCGCTCTTCGCCGATGACACGGCTATCTACTACTCGTGTAGGAAGATGTCGTTGCTTCATCGGCGACTCCAGACCGCAGTAACCACCATGGGACAGTGGTTCCGGAAGTGGCGAATAGACATTAACCCCACGAAAAGCACAGCGGTGCTATTCAAAAGGGGTCGCCCTCCGAATACCACTTCGAGCACCCCACTCCCCAGTAGGCGCGTAAACACCTCCGCCGTTAGCCCCATCACTCTCTTTGACCAGCCCATACCGTGGGCCCCGAAGGTCAAATACCTAGGCGTCACCCTCGACAGAGGGATGACATTCCGTCCCCACGTAAAAACGGTACGCGATCGCGCCGCGTTTATACTAGGACGACTCTACCCAATGCTTTGTAGACGAAGCAAACTGTCCCTCCGTAACAAGGTAACCCTCTACAAAACTTGCATACGCCCCGTCATGACGTATGCAAGCGTAGTGTTCGCTCACGCGGCCCGCACCACCTTGAGACCCCTTCAGGTTATACAATCCCGATTCTGCAGGATAGCCGTCGGAGCACCATGGTTCCAGAGGAACGTGGACCTCCACGATGACCTGGAGCTCGACCCCGTCAGTAAGTATCTACAGTCGACATCGCTGCGCCACTTTGAGAAGACGGCACGACATGAGAACCCTCTTGTCGTGGCCGCTGGAAACTACATACCCGACCCTGTAGACCGAATGGTAAACCGTCGACGTCGCCCAAAGCACGTCATCACGGATCCTCCTGATCCATTAACGGTGCTTTTAGGCAATATAAGTACCATCCTCGTCGAACCCGTCGCGCGACGAAGGGCTCGACGAGCGAATTAACCCACAGACACAGCCCACTGAGTTTCTCGCCGGATCTTCTCAGTGGGTCGCGCTTCCGACCCGGTGGTAGATTCTCCGAAGCACTGCTCTTGCTAGGGTCAGTGTTAGCAATTCTCCGGTTTGAGCCCCGTGAGCTCACCTACACAAGCCAGGGTAAGCTGAAATAGCCTCTCAAGGCTATCAGCATAGGTAGGAAAAAAAGTAAAATAAAATTGTTAATAACTGTTACCAACTGTTTAATATCTGTGAAACAGTTTACTAACTGTTTAATATCTGTGAAAGTGCACAAAATTAAATGTGGGAAAATGAAACAAAGCCGCTGGACGTAACTTCTCGGGATCCTCTAAAAAGTCCACTAAATAAATCTCAGTAAATGACCACTATTTTACTGAGATTATATATCATCTCATCTCATTTCATTTAATTTCATCCCAGTAGATTAATGTTTCAAAATAATCATCTTCATTTAATTTGATTTCACTCCATATTATCATTTTTCATAAAAAATAAGAATATAAATTTAAATAAGTCTTGACTTAAAAGTCTTACTTACCAGGTCATAAAATCCCTTAAAAAAATCAAATACTGCAATTCATCTTGTAATTGTAATCTGACTTGTGTCTTGTGTGTTAATCTGTGATGTTTATTTACGTTGATTCTATCAATTTTATTAATTTAACTGAGCAGTAAACATTTTGTATATTTTCTATGGACAGCTGAGTAATCATTGAATTCCTCTCCCAGATTGAAAGTATCATTAATTTTAATTCAATCAAGATTTTATTATGTCTCTACCTAATGCGAAGCCCGTCATCACCATCCAAAGTGATTGGAACTCTATTCTTCGGTACCTACCTACATCATAATATTATTATCTTTATGTTATATCATGGATTATGGATTTAGTCTTGAGAATGTAAATTTTATTTAATCATTTTTACCATTCTCTAAAAACATGTTTGATGGTAAGGGCCCACTATTTCAAAAATACAAATCGACACACAATTTGCTTGTTTATACTGATTATCATTGAGAAAATTACAATATTTAAATGGAAATAGTAACTAGGAATTCATATTGCTACTTATTATTACCGCTCATATCTATACTTCTATAACTATACTAATATTATAAAGTGGAAAGATTTGTTTGTTTGTTTGTTGACAGCATATGTCTGACTATTATAGTTATGCCACAATAAGTGTTCTTTTATTTAAAAAAATAAAACAACTTCAAATATCGTTTTCAGGGAAGCTCTGACTCAATAAACTCAATGGCTTTTGTTTTGTATGCGACCTTTTTATGAAAATTTCAAACTATCTTTATAATTTTATATTTTTAGAAACCTGACGCAAATATAAGGGTTAATGTGTGTGTATTATAATCTTTTTATTTTGAAATTTTTGTTAAAGATCCGAACGTGGCTGGAGCGGGCCGCTTGTTACTAATAAAATTAATAATAAGAAATAATAAAAAAATTACAGGTTGCCCAATGGCCAGGTTTGGATATCCTCTAAAGTTTTAAATGAACTCAGCACACAAGATACCTTAACAAGATCAGGAAACAAAAGTGATGGAAATATTAAGATAAATATTTCCAAAAACTATGAATACATTTCTCTTTCTAACTTAAGCCTTGTCGTGAAGCACATTGAATCTGAATTGAAAGCAGTGTTTGTTGCCCCCACCAAGGACCATAATATACATGATAAAGCAATTTTGTCTGTGGCACTTGCTGAAAACTCCTTAACTGTGTCTTCGTGTGAAGCAGATAAACTTCTTGTCTGGGATAGCAGGACAGGTATTGGGTTATTTATTAAATGTTTTATTTTCTTACTGGTGTAAATATTAATATATACATTTTCAACTTGGTGATATGATTTTTGAAGACTGGGTCATTTAAGTTTGTTTTTATTGTCATAACTTGACAGAATAACTCATTGCTTTTTAACTGGTTGCTGGAGTCTATACACCCCATAAGATTTTTTTTGATCATAAGATTTCGGGCCCTGGCCTAACCTCCTTCGAGGTCCCTGTGCCTAGGGGGCGCGCGGGGTATGTGGGACTTGACGATCTGTAAGGTGTTGGGAGCAGACCGCGGGCCCAAGGAATTTTAGGGCCCTACTGCACTAAACGAGTCCCCTGCACTCTTACACCCGACGACCGATCTCCGTCCGGGGTCAGAACCCGGTCAGAGTAGGGAAGTTCCCGCGCTCAACACTACAACCAAACACGCGGTGCCACCCGACATAGTCGACGACCAACGACGTCGGTCTCCGCGGTACGGCGGACCTACCAGGCCGCCTGGGCGATGCCGCTGGTGTTTCGGGATACCACACTGGGCCAGAACCAGCCTGCCGGATCGGAACGCGATACACCGCCGACCGGGTTGTTCTGCCACAGTCAGCTTGGCGACGACAGCGACGACGACAACGCGGTCCGCTTCGCAGGCCGCAGCCGCCAACGCGTCGTCCCATTCTCCTGGTGCCAGCGCGCTAGTGACGGTAGCGTGCGGCGAGGCCTCAACCCCCTCAGGTCGCCCCGTGACCATCACCGGGAGGAGACTGCCTCCTCACAGGGTCCGGAGCTGGACGAACGCCCTCCTCCGACCCGCAGCTCGGCGGCGTCGGCACGGCGCCGAACGGGAAGAAGAGCTCTCCCTCTCTCGTTCCGCTGCCTCCTTCTGCGAGATGGTAGACTTGCAGAAGTCGAGCATCGTCTGCCAGGACTCGTCGCTGCCGAACATCGTAGTAGCCACGACGTTCGGAAGCGACAAGTCCGGTCCTATTTTTGTAACGAGGACGCGGCGCTGCTTCGCGAAAGCAGGGCAGTACGCGAGCGTGTGCTCCGCCGTGTCCTTGTTACAGCCACTGCAGTGGTGGCACGTCGGCGTCGGCTCCCTTCGGGCGACGAGGTGCAGGTAGCGACCGAAACAGCCGTGTCCCGTGAGCACCTGCGTCGCCCGGAAGGTGAGTCGTCCTCGGTCGCGATTCACCCAGTCCCAGAGAGCCGGGTGGATCGCCTCGATGGTCCGTTGCCCATAAGCGGGATCCGTCAGGCGGCGAGACCACGCCTCGAGCACGGCACGCCGAGATTGAAGCTTCCGCGCTCGAACTGCCGCCGCGCCGGGACGCGGCTCCCCCCTAGAGCTGAGGTCGCATCGCCACGCGTAATCCGCAGCGAGCGTCTCCACTTCCAGGTCCAAAGTATTTCTGAAAATCTAGTAAGTTGAGAGCTTGGAAAAAAATAATCATCGTTTAGTTCTAACCACAACCAGGTAGCAATCATACATAAATTTGAGCTATGTGAATATACAGGTGTTAAATTGATTAATGTTATATGAAGTCTTTTACTTTATTTTTCAGGTGATCAGTTATTAGATTTAAAAGGACATGGTGGCCCAGTCTACAAATGCAGGTTCTTTCCGTCCGGAATTGTTGTACTGTCGGCAGGAGCAGATGGCTCATGTAGAATATGGTCAGCTGAGACAGGAATCAATCCTGTATTGTTAAAAGGACACACTATGTCAATCTCTGATATCAGTATCATTGACAGAGGGAATAATATTGTGTCTGTTAGCAGGTAAGTGTTTTCAAAATTATTGTCTTATGCTGAAAAACTCATAATCATAAAAAACTTAAGTCACTTTATTTATCTTTCTTTAAAGCCCAGGAAGTGGAAGATCCTAAGACTTCTTTATTATGTTTATTTATTATGTTCAGGAATTCTCATTTTATTATGTTCCCAAAATTATCTGCCTCCATCAGCATTATACTATGACACATTTGACATGAGGTTTATGTGTGCTCCTGGCATGTGAGTATTAATAAAAACAGCGAACATAGCACCACTTAGGCTGAAAGTACTTCTGCCTATGAAGGCAACGAAAAAGTTATGTTTGGTACAACCATATTGGTATTCTATAAGAATTCCTTCACTACTCTTCTGTAATTTGTTTGTATCTTATTGAGCAACTATAATTTATGGTGATGAATTGTTCAAATATTCACAGCTAATCACAGATTCAAATGAGTGTCTTCCATTTTTTTATTTCAGTTAGTGGAGTATAATTTTAAACAACAAGTTTCACAATAGCTTTGTTCATTTTACAGGGATGGTTCTGCAAAGCTTTGGGATGTCGGTAAATCCAATTGCTTAGATAATATTGTAGAGGGTCATGGACAAATAAATTGTTGCACAATTACAACAACAACAGACGAAGTTAAAGTTGATAACGAAAGAGAAGTATGTTAATTTTGATGTTATTACTAGTTATAATATTACATTTATTCTTCATTTTGGTTATAGAATTTCAAAGAAAACAATAATGTAAAGTAAAAATTTATTTTGGATAATTTGTCAAACAATAGATGGAGACAAACATTTCTCACAGAGCTTGTTGCTTAGGGAGTAGGAATGTTCTAGGCATGTAAATGCCCTAGTATTTCAATTATCTGTAATTTATGAACAAATGGTTAATGTAATTTTATTTAAAATTTCAGGTTGGAACTTCAAATAAGCTATTAATTTTGGGCTTTGAAAGTGGTTTAATTATGTGTGCACATATAGCCAAACGACAAGAGTTGTTCACTAAGCAGATTGATTCAGCGTGTAATGCATGCATTGTCGTTGGTCAGTCTATTATTATCGGTTGTAATAATGGCAAGGTAATTACGAAACATTTTATGAATCTGATATGGAATATATAAGATCTTAAGGAATTATTAGTATCATCACCATTTCGGCTTCTGAGCTAATAGACTAGTCAACAGTACCATTTGGACCAACTTTTTTCAGCAGTCTCCGAAAATTATAAAAAAGAAGAGGAAATTTCTTAAAAAAAGTCTGGAGCCACTTTTCGAATCTTTTTTCAAATTCGAAAAATCTTTATTACTTTTTGAGATATTTGCAAAAAACTAAACCCCCTTTTTTTAGTTAATTGTTAATAACTTTTACAATTTTTGCAAGAGGAAATTCATTTTTTTTCCAAAAATCATCCAGATGCCATTCCGAATCGAATGACACCTCATTTATAATTTTCGGAGACTGTTGAAAAAACTTGGTCCAAATGGCACTTGTTGACTAGTCTATGATGGCTACCGTTAATTGCCAGTACACTTCATCACAGAAGTCATTCGTGAATGTGAGTTAAGTTGTTAGTCGATACGATTACACAAACGTCTTATCTTTCGACCACGACTTTATTGTTTGAATTTCAAAACAACCCAGAAATTGCTGTAATTATCGTTTTAGAAATATTTCGGTTGTAGAATAAATTGATTTGAAACATCACGAAAAATAATTAATTCATACATAATAATATAATATTGTGTGAATTTCGACTTCTACCTCGTGTCTAAGGTGAACTTCGTGATTTGTACTGTGTTTATGGGTTGGTGCTTTAAGAACAACGCATGGTCTCCAAAAGCTGTTTTTTTTGACAAAAACGTTTCACTCCTGTTCTTTTCTACAAATATAAGCCGTGTATAATAATAATAATAATTGGGAACAAATCGCATACGGTTATCCGGGCCCAAATTAGGAAATTCCCAGTATTATTAGTACCAGAGACTGACATGCATACTTATACACTATGGAGGTTAGAGGTAAGGTAAACAGTCTCATACGGGAGAAACTTGAAAGTGTCCCACTTTCAGCACTAAATAACAGTTCAAAAATCCTCCAGAATGGCGCTATCATAGGCACGGTATGGTATGGATTGAGCAGTTGTTAACTGATTGAAGTATGCTGAGTTAGGAAATTTAATATATTTATTAACTGGAGTAGTTAGTGACAGTGTATTATACAAGACCTCACATGTTTACGCAATCCAAAATAATTTCATCAATATAACCTAAAATTATTGCTGTGGTAAAACGTGGAGACATCGATTGCATTTTCTTATCAGCTTTATATAAAATAGTTTTCGTGATTTTTTAGTGCTTACATTTCTTTCGTCCTTTTTTATTTCTCTATTTTAATCTAGTAACATAAAGCGCCTTTTTTTTAATTTACCCGGTAGCTACTGTAGCGCCACCCCTATTTAGCAGATTTTAACGGACACTTTTTCACAAAAGACGGTTCTCCTTACCTCTACCCTCTGTATTATACACGTTTAAATAAATACATATTATATAGATAATAAACACCGGGCAAAGGGCAAACAAACCTGTACATCACACGAATGTTTGCCCAATGTCAAAATCGAACCCAAAACTCTCGGCGCAACAGTCAGGGCCGCTAACTACTGCTCCATTGAGTCAGCATAGAGTGTAAATAAACAAAAATTCACAATCGTATAAAAATTTTAATTGTTACAGGTTGTACAGTTGAATTTACAAGATGGAAATTTGATCAGTGAGTTATATGAATCCGCAAGTCCAGTTTTAAGTTTAACAATATTGGCAAATCAAATGTTCGCAATAGGACGCCAAGACGGAACGTGTACAGTGATATCATTACTAGAACAACACAAGAATACTAGGGTGTACCTAACTGGTCCAGACTGTGATGGTGTCAGAGATATAGCATTTAATGGAAAATGGATACTCACGGCGTGTCGAGATACAATAATCAGAAAATATGACTACAATCAAATCAACGTTCACTTTAAATGATTTGTAATTATTTTTTTAAATAAACAACCCGTGTAGCCTTCTTGAGTGTCAAATAAAATACTTATAGGACTTCAATTTTGAATTTTTACATTTGCAATTTGTTTTTAATACCCTCTGGAAAATTAAATTTCACGTTAACCGGTATTTATAATTTGTACCTGTTTAACAAGTGATATCTGTCTACCTTTTTATTGTTGTTACTCATTAGATAAGCTTTGTTTTGTATTTGTTTGTTAAACTTTAGCCACATAGTTGCATCTTTGTCAATATTTGCTTTGAGATTTCTCCAATATTGCTGACTTCTTATAGGGCAGAGTCTTATCGAATCTGTATAAATATTTATGGCGTGAGATATTATTGCTAATAATAAAAAAATAATCGTTGTTTAAAATGAGTGAACCTTCTATTTTTTTAATTTGTAGGACTGCTTCACATGCATTTGAAATCCATAAATTCCATAATTCCAAATTCTTATAACCCTGCTCCAAGTCCGTGCACCACGTTTTAATATCAAATTCTCTTTTTATATTTGCTATGGATTATAGAAACAATGTTAGTTTTTAATTTATTTATATGATTAAACCTATGAAAACTTGTGAAAAAAATCTTACTTGGTTCTCCGTGGTGGCAATGGACATTATTTTGTGCTATATTTACCACATTCGTAATATTTTTTGATTCGATATTGAGATCTACAAAAGGTACGTTATCAATGTTTTTTTTTACTTCATTTATGTCGTTTTCTATTTCACTTGTTTTTTTTAAATCTCTTTTATCCTCTAATGTAGCGGTCACATTAGATGTTGGATCGAGTGATTTTTTAAACTCACTACCAATTCCCACATTATTATCTTTTTCATCAAGAGCCTTATCCATTTTATTGTCGTGATTTGTTTCAGTATCAAGTTGTTCGTTAACACCATACTCTAAATTCACAAATTGTCTTATTAATCTTGGGAAACTGTCGCTTAAGGTGTTTACGTTAAATATATGACCGGTTTTCGTGGGTAACTCTGATTTAGGTGAAATACTGAAAGTTTGTTCCCCCTCTGTGACTTTATGTTCCAAATTTTCTTCTGAAGGATCGCTTGTGAGCAAACTTTGTTCTTCGAATTCCATTATTTTACCGAGAGATGTAATAGATTTACAGACACTTGCGCTTGGTTTTAATGTAGGAGATACAATGTCCGCTGGCCAAAATTCATCGGCATCACCTAAATCCATAAAAATTAGAGAAGTCTTACTTTGTTTTTTTTACATCATCAATAGGCATAAATTGGATAGCTATAATCATACTTAGCAGGTGTTCGTTTGGCGCCGAGAAATGTAAATCAAGTTTGAAAGAATTTAAAGATGCCGGCAAAGACAATTTTTCTTCATCCAGAATGATACTTCCTAGGAGACTTGTGTCACTGTAAAATCAATTTGAAAGGATTTTGAGTACAGTGCGTTAATATTTTTTATTTTGTTAATATTTTTTATTCTGCGTTCTCTCTTTAGGATAGCAGTATTTGGACGAATTGCCTCGTAAGTTCAAGTAAGTTAAAAGACCCATATACACAGCCCACTCTTCTTCTCGCCGGATCTTTTCAGTGGATCGCGATTCCGATCCGGTGGTAGATTCTGCGAAGCACTGCTTTTGCTAGGGTTTGGTGGAGGCAAAATCTCGCAACTTGAGCCCGTGAGCTCACCAACCCGCCCGCGCGAAGCTAGAATAGCCCCTTAACCTACCAGCTAAAGGGTAGCGAAAAAAATACGATACAAATTTAATAGCAATACAACAATAGCTTTATTTATCCAATGTGAGGGTGTATGGATTGGTATCACCGCATTGTCTTAAAGGAAACATGTGGTCCGGTTTGAAGGACTTTAAGTCGTCGTGGTCTAAAAGAAAGGATGCCCGGTACATTCGTGTCGAGCGATGCAACAGTGTTTGAATCCCGCAAGCGGGTAACAAATTTTCTAATGAAATACGTACTTAGCAATTGTTTTATATTGACTTCCACGGTGAAGGAATAACTTCGTGATTTGCGTAATTACTGGCAGGACATCTTGTGAGTCCGCGCGGGTAGGTACCACCACCCCGCAATTACTGACGTGAAGCAGTAATACGTTTCGGTTTGAAGGGTGGGGCAGCCGTTGTACTGTTAAAACTGATCTTATAACTCGTGTCTCGAGGTGGATAGCGGCATTACGTTGTAGATTTCTGGGCTCCGGTTACCAGTTAATACCAAATGGGCCGTAAGCTCGTCCACCCATATTAACATTTAAAAAAAAAAGGTAAAATTTTCTTACCTGTGAACTACCTGAGTAAGCCCAGTCGTTTTAGTTACTGAAACAAACAACATTAATTACCTTGAATTCACTGCACAACGCATTAATTAAAATTAAACGCATTTATGAAACAGTTTGAGTATTATAAATGACTAGTTTTTACACGCGGCTTCGCCTGCGTGGTCAAGGAAAAGGGTCAATTATTTTTTCTAAAATGTTAAGTAATTTTTCTAAAGGTAACAAAACAGTTTCCCGTGGTAATTACCTGTATTTTCAGGATAAAAGGTTTTTTAATTTTTTTTGTTGGCTTATATCCTTATCTCACCTTAAATCACTATCATGACCTAAAACTACTACCTACTTTAAAAAATATCATGTCTATCCGTAGGTTCGTTTCGACGTGAAAGAATGACAAACAAACACACCTTTACATTTATAATTAGAATACGAATGAATGCATTAGCTGTTCGCATATATATAAGTAGGTACTGAAGGAAACATATGTTCCGATTTGAAGGGTGAGATAGATAGCTAGATTTTATACCAACACATTTGATACATCGTCCTATTGTCACTAGGAATGGAATCACACTGTGAAGTATATGGGCTTGGTGAACCGTTAAACGCAAGTTGAGTTTTGAACTCGACACAACGTAACATTGATAAAAAATGTTTTTTTTTTAATTATCAAAGAAGCCTTGTACCCTTATTTGGACGGGTAAATTTAACCTTTTTATTCCTCTCCTCGCTAAACCTTTCTTTAAATAAATAATTTGGTACATTTGGTTTATTTTCATCGTCGACATTGTATTTAATTTCGTTTTCATCTTCATCACTTTCTATAACTATCTGAACAGTCTGTTGACTGCGATAAGATTTTTCCAAATCAGATTTATCGTCTGGTACGGATATATTTTCGTTGTCAGAAACAGCATTGTCAATAATTAATGTTTCTTGTTTATGTTCATTAATTTCAACAGCTTCAGGAACCCCGTCTATGTCGTCACCAACATTACCTGTTGTTACAGTGTCAGTATGAATATTTGCAACGTTGTTAATGTCCATTTTTTTATTATCAGTGATGTTTTGCAATGTTCCATTTTGAAAAATTTGAAGTGCTATGCTGTCTATTATGTTATTTATTTCTTTGCTCAATTCATTTACAATATCATCATCATGACTCAAAATAGTGATTTCATTATCTTGATTATGGTTCGGCCCAATTTCAGTTAGGTGTAGACTTTGTGAGTCTGTTGAGTTGTCCACAAGCTCTTCAACGACAATGCTCATAACAGATGCTGATTGTTCAATTTCTAGAGGAAAAGATTGAGAAGAGGGATCTTCGTCTTGAGATCCTGTTTCAAATGTTTTAAAACTAAGATCGCTATGGTCACTATCCAGCTGTTTAGGTTTGCAGGCTTTCTGTCAAATGAGAGAAGGGCTATAAATTTCAACAACTATGGCCAAATCAGTTTTCTAAGTCTCAAAACCTTACCAAAACATTTTCCATCAAAATGTCAATAAAATCGAGAACGGGTCCCTCTTGTTCTTCTAACTCTGAAAAGTAAATTAGGATAATAAAACAAACAAAATTTATTGTTTTCGGAAAAGTTTTATCCCAATTCTTGCGAATACTTTCACACCTCTAAGATCCTCTTCTAAAAGTTTAAATGACGATTCTTCTAAAATACTATCTATCCATAAACTGACCTGTAATTTTTTTTAATTATAAGTATTTTAAATCAGTAGCACTAAGCTTCACTTTTGAACTGATTGATATATCGGTCATATATGCCACAGATTTCAGTCTCACGCATAATAATAATTCTACTTTGGTCCGTTCCTTTTTTTATAGTTCAAGCTCTTATATTTTGGAATTCACTTCACCTTGAGACGAAGTTGACGTCAAAATGCCCATTGATCGCTTAGTGTTTGAAATAAGGGTTCGTCAACTTCTGTACGAAATAGCAGGAACATCTAATCTAGACGCAATCTTATTATGTACTTATTGGTATTTTCTGTGCAATACACTATATGTATTTTTATATAGGTAATATATTACGCGTAAATCTCAAAAAAGCTACCACAGCGCTGTCTACGCTATCCTTAGTTGATTAATACCTACGTTAATAGAGATTGTCTTAGGCATTAAGACTGATAAACTCTGGTGCATTAAGCTCAATAAGTACCTAAATAAAACACATAATTTAGACTTAAAATTTATAATCTCACACTAGTGAAATATATTTGAAAGTACGTACTTTTTTCGATGCTCCAGTGAGAATCTTATTATTTATATTTGTGGATTTTAGAGATTTTTTATTGATAACCTTTAATTCCTCGGTGACCACATTGAGTAATTTATCCAACCTGTAAATTAAACCAATACTTGATTAATCCTTTTGAATTCTGATTATATTTTATGTGTATGGTACCTATTGGATAAAAATATTTTGATATTAATTTACCGTGAACATAAGAAAACATCGGGAGGGTTAATTAGTATGTGTGCAATTCTGCGACTGAAAAGTTTGCACAACAACTTTGTTTTGTTTTTCTGAGAATTTTTGATAGGTTTTGTTTTATTGCAGTGCTTTCTACGGTAAGACCTGAAAAATTATGAGGTATTTTATAAATGAAGGCAGCATTTTATTTTGAATTCTTTATTTGTACATAAGGGGCCATCCATAAAGTACGTCACACGTTAATGGGGAGGGGGGTATCACCGAAGTGTGACATCGTGTGACAAGGGGCATGGGGGGGTCAATACTTTTGTGACGTCACATGTTAAAATTTAAAATACTAAAACGCAAAGTTTGTATGTGAATTAAAAATTTTAAAAATTTACAAACTTTATCTATATTTATTAATAATTTAGCATTCTCGCTATGCGATAATCTCTCATGCAACGTCATTTAACTTCTAGAGCGGCGTTGTAATGCAAGTGAGACACTCAAATTAGGATGTTCCTGACGTTCAAATTCAGAACGAAAATGAAGTGCCTGATTTACCAGTAATAGCTGATATAAAAGAGTGGATCCAAAGTCCATGGACACTCGATAATTACGTTTTTTATCTTTAATTAATATAATTAATCGTTTATTATTTTCTAACTAGTCGTTTGTTTTTTCGGTTTTATGAAATGTTGGACTTTATGTTGATTTTATTAGATTATTATTTAATAAAAATAAGTAAAAAATGAAAATAGCTGTTTTCTCTCGATTATTTTTAAATACATACATAAATTTAAAAAANAGAAGTCCAGCAAAGGGGCAAGGCTTAATATACAACAAGATGCGCCCAATCTTGAGGGGGAAGCGCTGACGACATTACATTTTTACCCACCCTAATGCCATACAGTCCTCGGCACGTTTTAACCTATTACCTTAACTTGGGTGGTATAGCTACCGCTTACTAACGAGGTATCTAATTACCTAATTTTTTTTATCTGCCCCTCTAACGTCACACAATCTTGGACGCAACTGTTCTCGACACGACTAATCATGCCCCCACCTAATACGCCATTTTGTAACTTGTAACACCTAATACGAAATTTTGACATAATGACAGTATTCTGCTAGTGTAGTCCTATTATTTGATACCCATATTGTGGTGGTTGTGGAAAAATATGTACCTAGTCCGCCATATTGGAACGGCGTCCATCTTGAATTTTAAATTTTGAAATAATCATCGTATTTTACTAGTGTAGCCCTTTCATTTGATACCCATATTGCGGGGTTTAAGGAAAAATATGAAATCCGCCATTTTGTATCGGCGGCCATCTTAGATTTATAATGTCATTGATTTTATTATATTGTATTGTCATCTAAATTAAATGTGTGTACCAAATTTCAGATCAATCTGACAACGGGAAGGTGCTTAAATTTCAATTTCTAATTTTGACCCAAATAAATAAAAAACAAATTCCGTACAGGTTGAGCTAAATAAAACCGTTTAAATACTGATGGAATGGTTTCATTTTTCAAAAGAAAATTTTAATTTTATTTGTTTGATAGATATTTTGTATGGATATAGAGAAAGAAGTAAATGGAAATCACTATTGAATTGATAAAGTTACATTTATTTGGACGCATAAATACAATTATGTCAATATTTTTTTTACAATGTGCCTCTTTGTCGCTCGTTGTGCGCTCTCGCTTGCACTTCAAGCCTTTAAATGGAACGCCTCAGAGCGAGGTAACGCCGCATGAGTCATGTTTTTTCGTGCATGCAGCCGGCTCCATCGAATTATAAGACGTTGTCACGTCAAAAAAACTAATCTCCTTCACACGCATTTTTTTTCGCTATCATTACCGTTATCATTGAGAAGAAAAACGATATTAATCTAAAAAATGACCGCTCATTTCACCGAGCCTCCGACTCAGGCAGCTTTCGAAAGCTCAGCTTTCAGTCTCCGTTCGCGGTCGAAGCAAGCACACGTCCCGTCTTCCGTAACTTTCGTTGTGAACTTATCGATGTTTTTTTTTGTTTTTTTTTTGTGAATTCTTGTACAATATGAGTTTTTGTGGATTAGGTAAGAAGCTAACAAAAATGTGTTACGTCTAGTTTTCTAACAGGATTGCTAACTTTCGATGCCCGGTAAGGATTAATGTTTTGATATTAACCGAATCATTTTTATAAAATATATATAGATGTGTGCTTGTAACAAAATAATTCATTAAAAATTAGTGGTAATTTTGTTTTGTCGTAGCACGCAATGTACGCTAAATTTTAGAACGACTCAAGTGCGAGTTCGGCGTTAAAAGCTAAGCTAAGCTTTAAAAAAAAGCCGACATGATCACGATAGAATGGACCTTATACAATTCAATTTGGGGCTTCGACCTCATGTGTGTTAATGTTCATAAGCTCTCGTAATCATATCAGCCCACGAGAGCCATATAGGTTCACCTATGCCTATGCCATATGTTTTTGTTTAAAAAGCACTGTATGTAAGTTAATTTGGATTTATCATTTTTATTCTTCCGTTAAAAGCTTACTTGAAATCAACATTTGAATTTAAGGCTTCTAGAAATTTCATCTTCATCTTAATATTCGCTAAAAATTTTTGTTAACTTCAGTCTATTCTTTTTATATTTCCTTTGATTTCAACAATTTCTAGTTCAAATAAAACCTGTAAACGTTTTGTCAAAATAAATACGAGTAATGTTTTAAGGTGGAAAACACGATCCCTACGGCTTTATCAATACGAATAATCAAAATCTTTTGTTACTGCCGTAAGATTTCCATTTTTT